AATCTTAATGTGACTATCTACAATCAAATATTAATATGGTATGATTGGTATCGATATGTCGGTAGCAGCCGATCGAACATTATTAGGGGTCGGGCCGGCTGAACCACCTAGGGAGTATCTTTTATTGGCATTATGGCGAATTCATTGTTGGCGAGGTTGTAAACATACGTACCATAATGCACATATATAGACCCCGGCGACAAGTATGTCGGGATACCTACAAACAACGAACAACGCAACATATTGTTGTATTTTGATCATGTCACCAGCCACAATGAGCCGCCACATTCTGAGTATTGCTCCTTTTGCTCTAACCAGGACCATACCCTCGAGTGCTTCAAATCCGAATTATTGCAATTATTATTCCGGATCCTATTCTCGGGACTTAGAATAATGTTATTCGGTTCGACCCTTCCTTTTTTTCGAGTCATTTGTCTCTGATCTCTGATTTCAAATGTCATCGTGTCAACACAAACCGTTCAACGCTCGCACAAATGTAATAATACCCAGGCTGGTATCGATTCTCGGCCCTTCCTTAAGCTTCTCTAATAATATCACCATTGAATACATATACTGGCTAATCTAAGTGTGTAATATTAGCATTAAAGTGATATTCAATGTAAGACAAATGTACCCCAAACACCCCCCGGCGCTTACAACTATTGAAATCAGGGTTACGATGCCTATATTTAACAGCTTCGGCGCTTCGAAAATGTTGAAATGGATAATTCTATTCGAAGTTCCACATTGATAAAGAGCAAGCGCTGGTATATGTTGGTAGTCGCAGACTAGCTACCCAGTCGTCGGACCGCCTTTGGTTCTACTCCGTGGGCCGTACGCGAACAGCGGTATGAAGTAGCTCATACCCCGGGGCAATATAGCACTGCCTGGCGATAACTGAGGCAATGTGGGTTGAGTTAAGCACCAGCCTTGAAGCCAGGTTAGATATATATCATGTAGGTTTTAGGCCTGTCAGTCTAGAACTTCTAAGTGTTAGCGGTCTCAATACCATCCTAGGCAGGACTGTAGCGCTGACCACATTTAGTATACATACCCTTTGGCCATGAAGTGTATCCAAATGATTCCGATAACATTCATGGAATTTATCACTATTAGACTTTTGGAATTTTTTAGGTTTCGGTGATAAAGACACCCGGTGCGGCAACGGCAATATTATTAAACCGATATCCCTGCAAAGTAGAGTTTACGCTAACACTCTAACGTTGCCCTCTTCGGACATCCTCCTCGTTTAGTGATTCTCATGGTATCCATTGTAATATCATAATATAGTTATATTTCGCATTCGCGTTGTGTTAAGACATAAATCCATGATCATAAAGGTATATTTAATCTAAGAAACGTGGTCAGGCCGAAAACTCTGTTTACCGATACCGTATGCTAATGATATCATCCGCCCATACAATGCGCTCGGAGATCTATCTAGCTGAACTCTAGTTTTCGAGACGAGATAGCTAGCTAGCCTGCGAGATCCCGTCGGATTAAACTTCGAGCTTATTGACTCCCGAATTCCGCCTACCCCGCTTTACGAATTCTTTAATATGCTCCAGAATCTAAAAATTAAATTGAGATGGCTGATCTCTGCAAGTACGGCATAAAAATAAAAGAAAAAATCCCCTCGAAAAGTTATAACACTACTACACATGAGACCAGAGGTATAAGATCCTACTATCGGTGGGCCAGATGGGTCCGATTTCATGTTCGTACGGCGGCTACGAGATGTATAAGTGTCTCGATTTTCTTCAAGTGCTGCTGAAGGAAGTAGTTAGTTGCGAGGGTTGCGAGCCTAGTAAGTCGGAAATGCACCGGTGTTGATTATGGAATTGATTAACGCCATGCTTATGTTGAATAGTCCAAAATAAGGATAGTGTGATCATGGATGTAGCAAAAGCGGTGTCTCAATCCAGGAACGACGATAGCAAAGCCCTGTTGAACCCTTGCGGAATACATAGTAGTCACGTATCCAGTTCGTTTGATCAATACAGTGCTGTCCGATGAATCGTGCATAACACAGTCTGCACCATAGTCGTCGGATTCAACCCGACTCGCAAATTAATATCTACATACTCTTGCAATCTGTACTCTTTATTGCAGATTACAATACACTGTACAACCTCGGCCCGCCTTAAACTTCTAGCTTTAGAGCCTCACTACCTACGTGGTCCAGGCCCTTGCAACCGGAATTACTGAACCTAAATCCGCGCCGTTGGAGTAGGGCTCCTGTTGAACCTTAAAAGTACCTGAACGTGCATCTTCATAACACGATTAATCAAATTAAATCGGAAAATAATGTATTTATGTACATACATAAGAAATATTCATTGCCAGGAAGGATTACTGCTTACATAGTATTGAATTGGTAGCTGCACATAAATGTGCCCAACGAGAGATTAGTATAGCTAGTTCGACCCACATTCGAAACCATTCCGGATATATCGTTAGTTTATCAATTAATTCACAATCAGTCCCTGTTTCGCAGCACTGATCGTCCCTGAAGCAACCCTGGAAGCATTGAGGGCCAGACAATTGAGGCAACCATTAGGGACTAGCAATGCAAGCTCGTTCTCATCATACTGTGTAGTAAGAAAGAGCAGCTACGCGGTCCCATAAGATTGGCAATTATTTGGATGTGCATACCGGTATACCCACACTCTCGACCTACGGAGAACTTGTTCGCTTCCTACTGCAGGACTTGTAGGTAGCCCAACGATTTCCACTTCCCTCGAGAGGTAACGAAAGCTGTGTTTAAAAGCGGCTGGACGAGCCGCTAGTTTCACCGAAGCTCGTATTCAAATTCAAAATCCTGCACAAAAAGATGTTTGCCACGGAGCTAAACTAAAACGGGGGAGGTCTTTTTCCGCCGATGCAGACCATACTCGCCCATATGTTCATCCGTTAGTCAAGCTGTACCGAAAATGTGTGTGAGCCAAGACTTCCGCTTCCGTGTCTGGTAAAAAGGCATAATCGAAACGATTTTTTTTGTGCTTTTCTGTGCCGCTTTGCATCGTGCTGTATTTTGTGGTGAGAACGAAAAGTTGAAGGTCTCCACTTTGCAAAATAGTGCATGCACGGAGGTAGCATTCCCCACAGGCAATATAAACATGTGGTTCAGATCGAAATCTAGCCTCATAAGGTATCATTGAATGCTCTGACCCGTTGCCAAGGCCCTGGTAATGAGCTGGTGTCTTATCATCTAGCTTCTCTATGCCTCCGCCGCAATCGACTAATACTTTCGGTCGCCTACGTATGTATACGATACTGCAGCCTCAGGATTTATTGATCATGAAATTAGCTGCACAAAGATCTAATTTACTTTTTCCGTTGGCGTTCAATTCAAACTAACGGCTCCCAAGTTCAACTCCTTGGGACTAGTTACCCCGCACATCCTGGCCCAAATACGGGTTCAAACCTTCCCATTCGTTGCATTTAGGCCCAAGCACCGGCAGGGGCGGCCCCGAGTACCAGAGACCAGGACCCATCGGCTTGACCCTGGCGCACACCGGTCTATAGATCTACTGCGTAGTGAGTGGCTGCTTGTTAAAGTTTTCGCTTGTCCTTGGCGTATTCGATGCACTAAAATGATTTGCTTTTGGATATTTGACGAAAAGGTCATTTCGGGCTAGACGCTTCCCGTGGTGAAGAATCTCGACCGACTCTTGAATATAAACTACACTCTTAGCTGGCGTTCAAATTGAAGCCTAGTGAAGCCTCTATCCACCCTGCATCAAGCATGACCAGAATCCGGTAGCCAGCAGGATGATTGCAATAATACAATCAAAAACAAAACCTAAGTAATCAGACTCTGCAGACGCAGGTAGCTCCGGCTCATATGGCCATTCATGTGTATATACAGACCCCCACTGCAAAATAATACGATCACGATCGATCGCGAATGGAGCCCAGATTTCGGCTGCCATGCCGGCCACATTTTGCAAATTTGCATCTAGTCGGCCTCACCACCTATAGAATACTTCTTCGGCCACCGGGTCCTCCATAAATGTATAGCATGCGCAGATCAAGCCTTAAAAACCTGATAGTCTGTACTATTTTGCTATGGAGCATGATTCTAGAGCTGAAGATTGCGGCAAATATGCAGGGTCCGTGGATTTAAACTAAGCTATAAGCTACGAGGCATATAGTATACTAGAATGGACGCCCATCGTTGGACAGGCACCGTCTACACACCCCTATATTTCCACCGATACATGCATAAGGGAACAATCGACGATTATCTAAATCCTATGAGACAGCGGAGTTTCAACTCCGTGGCCAAATCCGGGCGAAGACATCTTAGTCCACGTGTACGTATCTACAAGTTTGTTTCAAATATGTATCCGATGTAGAAGGTCCCTGAGCCTAATTGGTTCAATATATATACACATGTACACTGTATACTGCATCAATAGCTCTATGTTTTAGTCAAGAGTGTAAATGCCATTCACCCCGCAACATAGACCCTAGAACGACGGTGTATAGTACCTCTATTAGATTCAGTTGGCCTTGTTATATTGCAGTCGGAATCTGAGTGGACTACTTGCGCATAGCTTGATTAAAAGTACCTCGATCATTAGCCTCGATAAAAGCTCAATCATATCTATGTATGTCCGCGATAGAAGTTTAAAATTTTGTCTAAATGAATCCGAAATCTGAGCTATGATTGAGCGCTCATATACATACGGTTGTAAAGAATCGCCCATGTTGCTTATAGTCATAGGATTGTAAGGTTGAACGTTGAAATCATACTTTCTGGGTAGTTCTGAAACGCTATGCAACAGCGGCTACTCCTCCGAGTGCATTGAAGGTTGAAGATTGAAGGCCCCAAGAACATTCATCTTATAGCAAACAACTTGTGGTGTTGAGAATGCAGGAACATGCTCAGCGACCTGATGTATTCTAACGGCAGGAGGAATCGCGGTGCCATCTACCACAATCAACACCAACGCTCACACCATCAAAGCTAACGTCGCCCTTCATCGACCATCATGGAAGGGGGGGTCCTCGCGGATATTGCTAACGAACGGAATATGGAACCGCTAATATCTTTGCTTCCGGAGAATGTGCTTATCAGGATCATGGGCCTCCTCAACTTGCATGATCTCAGTTCTTTGGCTTCGACCAACAGGTCGACACGAAAAATTCTCGAACTGTATCCGGCGCAAGTTGTTGTACCCTCCCTCGAAAAAACTCTGCCAAAGACAGAGATCTTGAGATGGTTTCCATTCCCTGGTACCTCAGTCAATTCTGAAACGGCTTTCGAAATCACTATTGACCATGAATTGACTTCAGCTGAGCAAAGGGGATTAGGGACGTCCTCCAGTGGTCCAACTGAGCCCTACTCTACGGCCCGTCATCTAGTATATCTCCGACATGCAAATCGTGTATGGAGAGTCTTTGATGGAATTTTTTTCTTCAGCAAATGGCTCCACAGAGTGGAAAGGCATGGAAATAACGGAAACCACGACTGTTCAACGGAATACCGCAAATCCAAGATCTGTAACGAAACGTTCAGGGTGGTCCTTTTCCTCGCCCAAAACGAAGTTTACAGCCTCCACCGATATCTTAGACATTGCACCGTCGAAGAGCGTATCGCTGTGAGATGTCATCCACAGGCATTTGATAAAGTCGAATTGCCTTTGCCGGAAAACTGGTGGATTAAAGGCAGGGTTTTGTGGGCCCATCGAGGGAAGCTCAAAGAGATTGAAGCCGAGTCTCCTTACGGGAAGGAACATTCGCGACAGTACCTGGACCACATGCTTGCCGTCGACAGAGATGCCTCCTTCCAACACCGTAGGATGTGGCTGGCCAAGTACCTAACTAAGGAAGCCAACATAACACCTGCGAGAAAGATCGAAGAATTCGAGAAAAGGGCGAAGGAGTTCTGGTACAGCAAAGGTATTGTTGCGGGACTTGTCTTCACTCAGGTCGCACCTCTTAGCTGGTGGCACGACTCCATGGTTATGGGAGCATGGCAATCCAAAGATCGCGACATTCGAGGGTTTGAGCACATGCGAGATGTCTCTATTTCATGTTATCAGAGAGCTATCAAGGTAGTCGATACGTTAGCTATTAAGCATTGATGCGATTGCAGCCACGCTCCAGAGTCCCGCTCCCTTTTGAATGCACTTACCTGTACCCATATTCTACCCCCGTTTTAAACGCGAATACCAAAATGTACGTTACATAAATCATTAATTTGGGCCGCGATTTAACGATAGAGAAGCCCAAGAAAGGGGTTAGGGGCTTGAATATTGATCGGGTACTCCGCATTTCGAGTCCCCTTTTTAGTAGATGCGGCAATGCTTCTGTAAATTCTATGTATGTATGGTACATTAACGGTTCCTTGGAAAATCTAGTGCGATAATATGGTGGAAAACTCGTCACTAAGGTTGATAAAGTCTAGCGGTGACTTCGACGAAATAGTAGTCACGGCGATGCTTATTCCAAAAACCCTCCGAAGTTTCGTGGATATTCGGGCCATGACTATCTATTTCACTTGTTCCTGGATCCAAGATTTGCCTATCGACAATGCGCCATTGTTTTGACCCACTTGGGTGTACATTAAAGATAGTCCCTGATATTCAATGTATGCACATGCATACTTACATCGTGAATAGTTTCTTAACTGATCAGAAATAATGTTAACCCACTTTCGGTTTCCGACTCCGAATAATCAAGCATGTACATACACTCAGCTGATGCAAGGATCAATACCCCATTACCAAACCCTAGCTTTAATGATCACATTAACAAGGGCGACCTGCCACGAAAGTAGCTGTTGATCCAAAATGTAAGGCTGCCCGATCCCTGTACAATTGCCAGATCATCATTAAACCTATGACCCTAGTTGAGAAAAACCGACATACCACCTTCTCTCTAAAGACTCCTGAAGGCAAAACAAAACTCAAGGGAAAAGTTTTTCTGAGTGAAAACTTGCACAACCACGTGTAGAGCTTTACAGGTTGCGGCATTGTTAACTTTTAAAGGGTGGCGATATCAATAATTTTCAACAGGAAGCGGAGGTGGATCAAGCCATCAATGATAAAAGCGGCGACCATATCAAGTTAACTATTTTGAAATTTCTGTTAGCCTGCATACTCATATCTGCCATGCATCGATATCAATGCAATAATAAAGCTATTATTCGGAACGAACTTATTCTGGTCCATGAAAGAGACCGTGCTTGGAAGCATCCTACCACTCATTTGTCCACCCAAAATAAAGTGCTCAGACTTGCTGCTTATGTAATAATATACTGCATATCCAAGGCCCTAAATTTCTTGAGAAACTATATTCACCACTCTTTAGAGCTATCAGGGAAATCTTTATTCGCTGTGTCGATATTCTTTTGGCCTGGATTCGAAAACCATAATATGCTTGTGCAGTGAGGCAAGGTCTTGTTTCGGGCTAACGTTACGAAACATTCACAGCCTGCAGCCCTATCTAAGCTAGCAATTCTTTGAAATAATAACATTATAATTAAGGGAAATTAAATTAGATTAGTGGTAACAAAGTGAGCTCGTGAAGAGCCTTTAAGGAAAAAAATATCAGGTGTCCTTCCTTGCTAGTGACGAAATACTAAGCTAAATACTCCATACATACTATTATTCAATCGATTCACGTTTAGCGAGAAAATAACTTTCTCATAGTTCATCCGAGCCTACCCGGGAGGACTGCCGGCGATGTGGAGAAAGGTAACCATGGAGGAGTTAGGAGAATTCGAACCGAGTTATTGGATGCGGATCCGAGAACTAGTCTTAGTGGAGTCGATCTTGGCTCTTGGCCTTGGTGGACCAATTGATTCCTATCCCCACCCATCCAGCCCACCCGTTCAAGAAAATCAATTTTTTGTACACAGCCTTTTGGTGCTGGAATTGAACGCCATGTGGTGCAAAGTTATGATCCAGCCGTTTTTTTTATTTTTTTGATTGCTCGCTTCTCTCGTTGGACGTGCATAGTCAACCGTGCGAGCAATCGTTCCAAAGCTGCAAAAGCATGGCAAATACCGAATAGTTCACCAACGTTGAATATAGTACCAACGATTGTGCTTCGTACCGTATCCACAAGTTAGCGAGGCCGTTACGACTGAGGGTGAAGCGATGTCCATGCATCGATATCTCGAGGCGAGATCTCTCGACAGCTAGCGTTTGGTCGAAACAGGCAACTGCCGGAAACCTTGGCCATAGCTGATTAGCTCGTACCCCAGGCCGGGCCCACGACTGATGGATCAGATGGTTTCTCAGATACTACGAAAATGAGAGAAAAAGATGTTGTATGCGTGTAAATTAGAATTATAATTCGACATCGCTAATTCCGACCAAAGCTATAATTACAGAGTGACTTCAAACGCCCATGATTTTTGTACGAACAAAACACGATGCCAAAAGGAAAAACAGTGCAGAAGCAGCAAGTCCGAAGCCAAAGAACTAACGCACGGACGTTCATGAGGTCGTGAACCAAGGATGACCAAGCTGATAGAGACATTACCCAAAACAAGAATTAACTAAGGAAATGATCCCAACCCAACCGTAAACCAAATGCAAAAAACCGGTGTCCAAACCAAACCAGAAAGCAGTGATGAAGAGCCGAAAAAGAAAATAGGTTAAAAGGGGGAGCTCGCAAGAAGAGAAGTGAAAGTGCTTAATAAACAGTGTACTGAGAATACATGAGGTTTGGCATCCTCTGTCGGTCCTCAGTGGGCCCAGATGTGACAAGGTTCAATTTGTAGTGATGCTCCTCAGGAAAAGTCGTGGCGATTTGGTCGTTGAGGGTGTAGGCGTATTCAGGATGGATGATGGTGGGGGAGGCAGTTGTAACCGGAATCTCATATGGCATAGGGCCGCCGATACCAGGGGCAATTTGAAGAGGTCCTCCGGTGGGGTAGGAGGTAGTCATAGGTGGCCATGGAGAGGAGGAGACGCTCGAATTGCTAGAACCAGAGTCCGAGGAACTTGGCTCCATATGGGGAATGCTAGAGGGATTTTGACGATATGCAAGAATAAGCTTAGTCCTCCTCAGGAGTCTCTTGGTGGGCCTGATACGGCTTCCAGAGAATGGGAGACGGTCGCTTCTCAAGAGGTCGAGCATCATTGCGGAGATTCTAGCAAGATCCTCGTGCCTAGCGGGGCTCGTAGAGGGCTCTGAGTGGTCACCACCGTAGAAGCTAACAAGGTGTTGCAAAACGCGGGCGGAGACGTCCAAGGTGAGGACAATGAGCTCCGTTGGGAGTTCTGCGTTGTTATTAAGCTGTGGAATCTCCTGGCCTGTGAAGTGAGGAGCGAGAAGAGGCTGTTGCAGGATAAGCTTGAGAAGTTCGAGGAGTTCCTCTGCATTCCTCTCATCGATAAACTGCTTCTGTGGGTCTTGTTCCCCAGAGTGAGGGAAGAAGATGGCGAATTCGAAGATCGAGAACATGAGATCAGACTCTGCTCTCGACATCGAGTTCTGCGAAGCACTGTATGAGGCCTTGCAAACATTGTTGATAGCTGCACGAGACTGTGCAGTGAATGATTCCATGAGCATTCTCTTGTCAGATGGCTGTGGGGCATTAGGACTTGTCCATCCGTAATGGGAAGGTGTAGCTGGGAAAAATCTTTCATGTTGGTCGTAGATAACCAAGAGACGAGATGCGGTCAAAGTAGTGACACTAAGGGAAAGGAGGCTGCGGAGGGACTTGGCTTGAGCGTTCAGGGTGGAGACGTTGTCAGAAGCAAGATCCAACTCGACCAACTTGGAGTCAGTCTCGTTGGAAATGACCAATGTGGTGAAGGATTTAGTCTCTTCCAAGTCGATCAACGATGAGTCGATCTGGAGTAGCATCCACAGTCGCAGAGCAGAAGTGATCCACTGCATGTTGATAATGAGCTCGGTCTCAACTTCGCCTTCGCATACGCCGTTGATTTGGCTGGTGCATGGGCCTTCGCCGTCAGTAATGCCCTCCCATAGGATTCGAACCACGCGGGAAGCGATGGTAAAGTAGCAGATTGCCTGCTTTGGACGATTCTGGCGGAGTTCATGCCACCCGAGGAGGATGAGGGTTTGTGCAGTGGACATGTTGGCAGTCGAGTAGGAGATGTTCTGGAGGCAGGCGATGGCCCAGTAATAGAACTTCTCGGCTTCCTCATGGCTTCCCTTGCTAATGCTAAATCCGAATGCATCCGACAAGATTATCGACAAAAGAGCGGGGTCATATTCATTGTTCCTGATGCTGCGAAGGAAAAGTGTTTTCGAAATAATGCAGGATAGTGGATGTGCCGACAGCCAAACATCAATCATCTGGAGAGTTGTATGGGTTTCGTTTTGGGCAAGAGGGTCTTCAACAGGCATGCGTGGTGCTGGTTCAAACATCCTTGAAGTACGATCCATGAGCATGCTCTTAGAGATAAGTCTAGATTTATTCCTGCTCAAAGGTTCGCATCCCAAGTTGCTGACATTGTTGCAGACAGTCTCGATGATTTCATAGTTTATTGTCTCCAGGATCTTCTCATTGTCGATATTTGGAAGGCCAAGGCTGGCAGTCGATGCATTTTCAGATCCATGGATAAAGATCTCCTGGCCAGCAGGGTCCATCTGCCCGGTAGGGCGAGGGCTACCGTTCTTGACCGCATAAGATGACCTCTTGCCAAAGATCTCTTCGAAGGTCGACCTGAGTTCTACTGCTAGATTGTCCTGAGTCTGGGTCAAGTAGTCGAATGTTCCCGGTGGGATGTTCAATCCAGCATGCAAGCTCTTTCCACCTTTGATCTTTTCGATTCTTCCTCCTCTTGGTGCTCCATTCTTTGGTCTTCCCTTCGAGGCCTCAGCTTCATAAACGCAATCAATGTTGCGTTCCCGACAAGCGGAGCAGATATTTTGGCCAGAGCACCTTATCTTCCTAAGTCGGCAGAAGTGGCAACTCCTCCTCATGTTCACGTTGGAATGTGCAACAGCTGCTCAAGAAGATGTTAGCTTTTTGTACCTTCTAAAGGTGTTGACATCTTGACCCAATCAACTTACGCTTCATTTTTAGATATTAAGGAAAGAATTAAATAAAGGAATGAACTTAAGGAAAGAAATAGTTCAGATATCTAGAGATGTAGTATCTTGATCTGAGCTTGATGAGCCTGCGGAATTGAAAGGTGAATTGTTGAGGTCGTGGATGGGCTGTTATATACGTCTCGATACGGCCCCGCAGAGGAACGAGTATTTAATAGTCTGCTTAAGGATGTGCGTCCCAAAGACCAGCATCAAAACGAAGTGGATTCATAAAATCTGCAAGAACGCCAAATGGGGCCAGACAAGGGTGCCTCTTGCGACAGAGGAACTGATTCAACTAGCAAAAGCTGTGCAGATGCATATGGAGTGCGCTACTGTGTATGCACGAATCCCCCCGAGTGATATCCTATAGAGGACCCTGTTTTCTGTGCATATTACTCTGAGGTACATTCGCTCAGGGTAGATCACTGGGGCGTTTCGGTATTGCTTCTTTTCCCTAAACCTTTCTTTTTTTATCTTTCGGCTACTTGCTTTTTTAGCGTGGAACATGGGTGTCCAGGGCTATATTTTCTTCTTTGCAGCCTGTATTTCTGGCCTAAGACTTTTCGCGACAGCCCCTCCAAATGGAGGTTCTATAATTTGCTTAACGGTGCTAGCCTTACCAGAAACGGTTGAGTTAATGCTTTTGCCAGGGTGGTCTAGCCATGTTCTGGGAACTAAACCAATAAACCCTTAGCCCGGTGCACTTCACTTCACCGAACACCACCATTCGCCGAACTGCACCATACTAGCAGGGGGATTCCACAGTCCGGGCACATAATTCCCAGGTGTGAAGCACCGTCCAATGACCCGAACCACCCTGAAGATCCTGTCTTGATAACGACATTCCGGCGAGAGATTTTGCCAATTAATTTACTTTGCAAAAATATTGTTTTTTTTATAAGATTTCCACTTCAGGTTTAGTGCATATCACACACCTCAATTGTATCTGGTTGGAATGCCTGCAGGCGATTGGATCGACCATTTCCATTTTTGGTCACCGCCAGTTTCTTGTGCTCGCTTTGTGAGGTTGGAAGATTCGCAGCTGCAGACTGGCCGTCTTTTTCTGTTATCAGGCTCGCGCATCAACAGCACGAAAAAGGCTGCAGCAAGAACTCCGAAGTTGAAAATTCGCTGTGTTTAGTTGCGTATGAAAGGTTTCCTTGTACTTTGAAGGCCCTCCAAGGCTTCGCTAACTTCGTTTGCGTCACATTTCAGCTTGAATTTCTCAGAACTTGTTCCTGAAAGGTTGATCATACAGAAAGTCTATTGTGCGCCTTCAATGGTAGCGACCTCAACGTCCCGTTTTACCCTGTGTTTTCTTTTTTTTCTGTTTTTGTAGGTTCGGAAAATCATTTTAGAAAAAGGAATTTGTTCACCTCGAGTCGATGTGTCTATCGGTACCTCCGCTCTATAGCTAGCGTTCTTTTCGGCCGGGTCTTTAGCAACATGGTAACCTAGATACTATCATAATAGTGTGTGTGCTATTTAGCACGCTGGGGCTCAAGCTATAGCAATTAGCTTTATCGGTGGACTGAAACATTGTCTTGGGCGGTAGTCTCGTAAAATAGTCTACCAATTTACGAGTATCTCATTGTTCAGAGAGGTGCACGTTCCTTTATCTAACCCTGGTATGATTCGGCTTTCTAGTATCTGCCTTATGGTACAGAACCTCGAAGATCTACAAGTTTTCACACATCCTTCGAATTCGAAGGCCAGTTCATTTCGCTGGAAGAGTAGATCATTTCGTCTATGTCAAAAATGAACATATTTGTGCCGGGTTCTCGCGTAGTTGTGCTGCACCACAGTCTTAACATAATTGCAGCGGTTGAATACATATAAAGAGTCCATACGTATAATTGTATTGATGCCAATCTCCAATGTTCAAATTCAAGCACCCTATAGGCCTAGTTGTGAAATACTAACGTATTGAGTATTTCATGTGTATTACGGTCACGAAATATAAATTTCCCAAAAATTTCAATCGGTACCGCGGTGCTAGAGTTTCCACCACCAATATAGATCTATCGCCGTGCATATGCATAGTCATGATATAATCGATTGAATGGACCGTGAAACAGGGACACTGGTTCTCGAGCATTTACGATTTGATTGCCGAATTTCTTTCTTTCCCATCCCAGGCGATTAGAAACATAAAACGGCCGTACTAAACCTAAAATAGCAGTGTTGAATTTAGAACTTCCCCACATAGTTGAGCCACATTTGTCTAAGCGTGGGACTCTTTGGCGTGTCAGCAACAACGTGATCAATCGGAAAACTTTGGACTAAAGTCGGAATGAGGATCAAATATTATATCAATTGACACGTACTCTATCGTATCATGGGTACTTTAACAGGCATATGCTTGTAAGAAATATCCACAGTAGATTCGCTTAATCATGCCATTACGGAGCAGAAATTCCATTCTCGTCACCTGGCCGTTGGCCGTTACATACCATGCATGTGTGAAGATTTGCACACTTCTGCTATCTAAGAGCACCTCTCATCCATCCGTCAAGGGCGGAGGTTTGGACTCTACTAAAATAATAATAATAATGCAATACCCCTCATTAAACACACTAATTTTCATGAGGCACTTCCATTTTCAGCTGATCGACGCATAAAAATCTCTCCGGCAATGCGCAAGATGTGCTGTTTCGTCGAGCTAGCCTGTGTACTCTAACTCGTTTGAGCTGTAACTTAGTTGTCCTAGTTATTATCCTCAGAGTCGCTGTTACTGGTGCCTGTTTGTCCCCGATAGCTCGACTTTCTACAGGGTCCAGTAGCACTAGCGACGAAATTCACCATCAATTCGGAGGTTGATCAACCGGATTCAATACGGAGTATGTACCGCTGAGACACCAACACTAGCCATACTAGCGGCCGTGATAAAGCCGCAGTGGAAATGACATGATTAAATTGCTCGTGGCTAGGTTCAGAATGCCAAGTGCCTATGTACAAAAGAATAAAAATAAAAAAAAGGCTGGCAGAACGCCACACGATACGTAATTGACTAATGTGCGAGGGAAAGCCACGACCCCGGCTTCCAACATTCTTATCTGCTCATGAGTGCTCAGGTACACAACCTGAAGCCGGGTCACGGGAAATGGCTGTGTGGACAAAACGCCACAGTGCCGACTGGCCTCATTTCCACGAAGAGATGAAGCGCATCACACGCATATCCTAAGCTTACATACTGGATCATGATTAATGCGACCCTGTACCGGACTTGCATTCACTCCGTATTCCGTAGCTACTGATGCTAAGGTACAGAAAACTTAAATGAAACTAAACTTTCATAAGCGAAGACGGGTTCTAGTGGAGGTTTTTTCAAATCGCCCGATCTATCTCCGATATGCACATTATGAACAACTAATCCTGTTCCTGAAATCCTCCCACGGCTATCGATGGATTGAATCTTGGGGATCTTCGTAATTCGTTGTCGCCAAGCCGAATACGGCTGGCTCCAGCCATAGTTCCTCCCACCACAACTTCAGTCATTGGGCGTCAATGTGTAACAAAAATTGCGAAAAGGGGCTCGTGGCTGAGCTATAAAATCGTCTATATCGGCCTAAGGTGTTTATGGTTAGAAGATGGTAACTCGTACCTGGTTTTTTCTTTTCCACCCTTCCCTCATTGGCACACGTGGAAGTTCGAAACGATCTAGCGATATGCATAGCTAAGGTCTAAGCAAGGAACATGCTTCATCCGCCCCGGTATTATAGCGAGAATTATACTTACTTAGTTTGGTATCAAGCGATGTATAGCATTCCTTAGAATTCCGAATATAGGGAATAAGTTGAAGCCTATTTCCACGCTAACCTCTGGGAATGTAGTTATTTTGAGCATCTAATACGAAACAAGCCAAGAGCGACAGAGCTAAGTTACAGGCTGTCGTTTTGGGCAGTTTTCTTTTTTATTTTTTTTTGTCCCTTCCTAGTTCTGCTGTCGACACGACCCCGAGCACGGTGTTTCAAGTTTTATGGACTAGCTTAAACCTTATCCTCTTTTTTTTTTTGCCAAAAAAAGAAATGGAAAATTTTTAAAGTTGTGACCAGAAAATACCTTGCTCTGCAGCATCACAAAGTATTCCTGACCTCAATGCTCCGGATGGAAAGGCTTCTTTTAGCTCATCTAAAAGTCTGGTTACGAGACTGCATCTTGCGCAGGTACGTCGCCCATATCACAAGGTGCGTTGACCCTGTTCTTAGTTTATGCAATTGTGGCCTCCTCGCCAACGTGATAAATCCAATGTCCAGTCTTAGTTAGTCGATAAACTCATAATCATATTTTATATACGAAAAAAAAAAAAAAAACTTTAATATATCGCTTACTGGGCCGAGACTGGTTCAAGATAGCTGCTTGACCGGGTTCGCCGGGAATATCAAGGGCATCATTATGGGCTAAATGCATAACTGTTGGTATTCTCATAAGTGCGAGCCTTGAACTCAATGCGACAGCCGGTTTCACTATACCATGGCTTGTGATCGCCTTTTTCGCCTATGATTGGATTATGCGGACTCGAAGCCGATAGCTCATAAACGGATCCGCTTAACACCCGCCTCAGGCATGAATATAGCGACTAAGCCACTCCGTGGCATGATCCTGATCCTGATCGGTGAAATGACTTAGTTGATACAGCAGGGTGCGCACCCATTTCCGTATATGGTTGCTGTACACGAGACATATTCTATCGATCAAACTGGAGACGCCGGGGAAGGAGGTTGGTGTGGTCTTATTCACCACTGATGAGCTGGAGTGACCAGTCGATCAGGAGATCGGTGGAGGGATACGTAAACTGGACTGATTTGTTCGAATCAGTCGTCACCTTAAACCGTTTGTGGAGCTTATGCTGAATTCCGCCGCTCATACTTGATTTCGAATGATGAGCGAATTATCAAACCTCTGCATATAATAAACTAGTATTTTATAGGTGAATGTCTTGGAATTGATATGATATGTACATGTATTTCTGGAAAATATAATACAATTTTTCTCGAACGCAACTAGGCCTCTCGATATTATGGCCTGACAAAAACATTGGTAATAGAAGGCAAAAAAAAGAACTAGAAGTCTATGCATTGTATGAAGGAAATGAATTATTGTGCAAGGGGCAATTTAAAGCTATTGAAAAAGCTATAGTCTCTGCAAATACTTCCGTTTGTGTGTCTTGAGGTCGTGTTCACTCCACTTCCATACATGTTTCCTTGCAATTTCGGTATAAATTTAGGGAATCTACTTCCATTCGCACTGTTCGCAGAGAGCTTTGTTATGCCCCGAGGAGCACCCATGCTTACTGGTGTTCTCACACCGGTCGATGATCTTGTCTGGTGTGGAGCTGTCGCAGGTCTTAGCGGCTTCACGCTGGTACCTGACGACGTTCCAACCTCCAGGGCATTTCCCGTTACAGAGTGGAGCAGTGCCGAACCATCTTTGAACGCAGTGAAGCTTCTTTGGTGGTGGGGGTGGGGGTGGGATCGGGATGACGGTCACAGTGGTCGCCTCTGGGGGAAAAATCTCGGTGATCCTAGTTATCGTAGGTGGTGGTGGGGGGCCTCGGGTAACTTCGATGGGAGGCAAGCCTATAACCCGAGTGACTTCCAAGTGCTCGGTATCCCTAGATCTAATGGGAGACCCCCACCAGACCACAGCAGGAGTTGGAGCAGCGACAACTGTATTTTTTGTTGATGGGATTGGCTCATAGTCGACGGTGTTCGACCTCGAAACATGAATAGAAGTGTTGATAGTGGATGCACATTTGGTGTCCTGCGTGTTCGTTGCTGACTGGTAAGGTGCAGCTAGGGTTGATGGGATGAGTGCTAGGACAACAGAGGCTAAAATTACTTTAGAATGCATTTTGCTGGTGGCTAAAGAAACAAGCGTATAATGGATGTGTAGTATAGTATAAAAGGAGTTTTAACGATATGTTCAAAGAACGAGGATGGGTTGTATGATAAGCTATGTTTCTTTAAGGATGAGGTTGATTGCTGTCTCTAGATTCTGTGTCCTGTCGAACAAACAAAAAGGTAGAATAATGGGATGCTTTTATAATTTATCTCAATACTATTAATACATAGAAGTCCTCTAGACCTTAGGGCTTTTGTTGCTGCAATCTAGCGTCGGAAGGGCATCGGTGGAAAAGTTTAATATCCCCGCGATTCCAAATGAAGCATCTAGTAGTTACTGAGTAAGTGGATGTATCGAAAATGCATAAGAGGGTTCTCCGAGGGTTCTGAAGCCTATACTGCCGCTTACCCAACTCTGTGGAATTTTAGATATCCAGCTTATTGAAGTGGCAGCTGCGAACCTGGCATCAAGCGTTTACAAGGTCGCCATGAGGCCGAATGTGAAAAAGTTTCTCCAGTATATGGTAGCCTATTACCTTTCAGAGGTTCCAGGCTCCAAGCGTGGTGGATCCATAAGATTAAATTCCCATATGTCGGGTTATCAGTTATCGATATACACCGTCGCGTTTATGCCATGTCGAAGCTGCCCTGAATTCAGAATGTGTTGGTACGTTGTAAATCCCATTTAGGAAGTAATTCAGTGTTGCATTATGATACTATCAACACCTGCCCAAGTGGGCGTGTGTGCATATGTGCGTAAAGTCTTGGGACCTGATGCCGACTAGTTGTTATATGCCGCGGGATTCTTTGGGAATATTCCACTGCAGCTGGAGCATGAGAAGACAAGGATATGGTGTATTGATTTCTCATGATTTCTGTTTATTCTTGTGTACCGAGTGCACTGGGCAAGCTTCCCGCCTACGGTTCCAATTGGTCATTGTTAATTTGCAATCGATCTCGATTCTTCTCTAGATTCGCGCCCAGTGTTCCAGAGTGAACCGACCCTGACTCAAGTCCTGAGTAATGTTAGATTGACTTTGATTACAGAAATTGGTTGGGGGTCAATGAAGTTATTTGTGCCAGTTGGGGTTTCGTTTAATTTCTGGTAGCGTTTCGTAGACCTTTATGAGTGCACTAGTATACTAGTATAATCGTGCTGACTGATCACATATAGGATTCTTCATGTTAATATTATAATTAAGATGATACCTGGTTCTTAGTAGGGAGGAAGTTTAGTATCTATTGGGACAACTAAGACAACATGCATAACATGAATCGTTTCGAAAGCTATAGGTGTTAGACCCGTCAAATCTATGGGTGGGTGGGTTGTCGGTGCGGCGCTCTTTATCACATTCAGTCAATAACATCATTAATTAAGCTTTGTCTAGTACCCAGACCTGGAATAAGCTGACAAAATGAAATTCTCATAAACCTTCCATGCACAATGCGAACGCTTAGGCCCAGCAAACCTACAATGAGGAAGGGCATCCAGAGTACGTTCGAGCGCATATATAAGCATTAAGCATGGGGCGAATATTCTGACAATAGAAATTCAGTCGCTTGACTTCTTTGTGAACATCCGAAGCTTATGGTTTGGTATAAATTCTAAATTTAAAACAGACTGATAAAATCCCATATTTCTAAGTACTAGTTTTGAGGGGAATAAAAAAATAAAAAATAAAATAAAATATACACTTGAGTGCCTTATTCCCACTCAAATTGCAGATGACAACTTCTTCCAGCGATCATACTGCGCCGAAAAATTGAAATAAAGTCAAAATTAATGATCGTAAATTAAAAGTAGATAAAGATAGAACTCTACTGGTTGAAAGTACCTTTCAAGAGGGTGGTTGGGAGATGAAGAAGCTAGGAGAAATTTCGAAAAAACAAACGGCAGCGAAAAAAAAAAGTCGGTAGGTATAATGGCGGTACGCTGTACTTGCATTGACATCAAGGTATAAAGAGAAAAAAGTCCAAAACCAACATCCAAATTTGCCCCATGCTAATTCCCATCGCTTGTAACTCAATTTCAATGCAATTCGGTCGTTAGGTTTAGAGTTATTCGGGTTTTTGGCCATATGTAACGCAACTAGCGTGGAGAGGAAGAAAAATTAGTATAACCAGGTACACAGAAAAGCGATGGAGTGTCCGGAATGGGAAATTATATCTGGGTTGAACTCACAATCGGAAGTACATGTGGAAGCTCTTGTTTTTCAGGTTCTTCCGGATATCTTTGATAGTTTGCGCGACCACCTCATTGTCTCTCTGCAAAGGAAATTCAGGTTAGCTACTTGACTATCAGAATTCTGTGACGGGGCTGGCTTTCTTACCCCTAGAACGCGAGTATATACAGCGTTGGTGAACCCTTCCGTTGCGTCCAGCATATTCACAAGGTTGAAAGCGCCAATTTCTTTTTCCACAGGGTCTTTAGGCCATGTACCAATCGGGAGTTTGAAGTATTGCTTCTTGATGTTGGTGAAGCCCGCTTCTTCCATCCACTTATCGATATGTGGGTGTGCGTGACAGGTCTTGCCAATTCTCTCGAATGCATCGCTCAGATCACGAACCCAGTCCTTAAGAATATTGTCTTCGGGAACGGATCCATCATCGGCGGTGATCTCGACGGTGTGTTCCTGCGATTCGTACCAACCACCCGGCTTTAGGATATGGAATGCGTTCCTTACGAAATCTGACCAGTCCGATACGGCAGCGTGACAGTCGCGAGAGTGAATGAAATCGTAAGATCCTGGAGTCTGAAGCCAAGGTTCATTGAAGTCGTCAACTTCGAAAGAGACATTTGGGGGAACCCTAAGTGCAAGATGTTAATTTCCGAAGGATGGTGCTAGATGATGATATGTCTGTACCAGTTTGGTTGTATAGGAGAAACATCTAGCTACAAGTTAGTAATCATCAAATCACTGAATAATGCGGAGTGAGAATTTTACCATTTCCCATAACAGCGGCTTCAGGAAAGTCTTCCGCAACCTGAATGGCCCAGATACCGGTCCCTGTTCCTACGTCCATAATCTTTTGAGGACTTTCAATAGGAGCAAGGAATAATTTCCCTCCCAATCTTAAGAGAAACACATGGTGGCTGATTTCCCCCAACGTTAGAGCCGTTGTGCGATATATGAAGCTTGAAAATGACACCCAAGGCCACTAGGAATACATGGTAAGGTTGACGACTTACAATAGATCTAATTGTTCTTGTTGGACCTGTGCACCATATATTAGCCTTGAACAACTTTTTAACGTGATAATGATGAAGAATTGTATACATACATCGTCATTAGGGATAAAGTATTGCGTTCCGTATGCATTGTACCGCCTTCCATTATGATATTTATAATCTATAAGGGGAAAGGTTAGTCACGTGGATCTTCATAAGTATACAAAGAACAGCTGGTAAACAGTAGGATGGTTGGCTCACTTTTCACGGACTCCGTTAGCGAGGTTGTTGCAGAACCACTAGATCACGTGGTTAGATCGAATGCAAAACTTTCAAATATATATACTAATATATTGCGGTAATACATACGAGTCCGACCCATAGAGAGAGTCATAGTCCGAACCGCTTGATGTCTATTTGTGTGGAATAATAATGACCGTTAATATCATCAAGTGCAAGTTTGCCTCCGACTCCATCTTATTCCTGCAAGATGCCGAATGTCGGCAAAAGGGCCTGAGGGTCTGCCCTGTCAGGGGCGCAGGCAACAATGCAACACACAAGCTTTGTCCCTCCGCATGTTGCTTCTAATATATGCATTGCATTGTCCTCCAGTAAACAATGGTAGAACAAAAGAGATAGCCGCGACTTACGTAGTCGGTTTGGAAAGTCTCTCCCTCGTCGATAGCGATTGTATATGTTGGTTCAGAGACGGTCTGGAGTTCACTAGGTGTGATTTCTGGGGGTTGTTGGACCGAAGTCTCCACGGCTTGGCTTTCCCCAGCCTTCCCAGCTTCCGCTGATGAGCTTTGCTCCGTCGTTGACATGGCTAGTCGGTCGCTCAATCCTCTTACAAGTGCGATACTCGAGTTCTCGGCGGTGAAGTATTTGTCGCAGCCTATATCCGCTGATATCGGAGTTTCTTACCCAGCCCGTAGGTCTAGCGTGATTACAAAAAGATGAAAGTTGGAACAAACAAATGTAGTGACTGAAGGCTTTCTAAGAAGAATGGCCAGACGGACGGGAGCGGATCCTCTCCTTTTTAGTGCCAAACTTTGCTTTCATGGAAAAGAGGCAAAGGCACTAACTCAGGTTGTCGGGGATGCCCACCATCCGCTCATTTGGCACAAGTCTTGTGGGCGAGTGTGTTCAGAAAAGACATGGAGTGGGGCTAACTAGCACTGAATTTTCTCAAAGATTGGCAAAATTCCACAGTTGGTATTGGTGAACAAGGGCTTTGCTCTTTCGAGGATATTTGACAAGCACGCACCGTTTTGGCGCTAGCAATTCGCGCTTGGCTGGGGTGCGGAACTTCTGCCGTAGTTCCATGACCACGCTAACGGGCCACTGACATGGTTTGAGGAGACAGGAAAACTGCAGTCTCAGTATTGCGTGTGGGAACATTATGGAACCACCAAAAGTTTTAGAGGCCTCGAGTTTCTCTGACATAGTTTACCTCTAAAATCTTCCATGACCGGGTATTATCCACGTGGTATAGCCGCTTCAAATTGCGCTTCCACGGGTAGTGCGTCCGTTTACTCGGGCTCAAATTCATGATTCATCGGACTGGACGTGCTTACAGAGCTCTGACTAGTCGTACATATTTGATAAGACGACAATTGATTGATTGATAGGAAATAGGTCCTGACGAGTCTCGACACCTAGGATACAAAAAAATATATCGATGGATTTATTGACTTAGGTATAAAGCCCCCGCTTTCATGAATTCTCATGTCAATGCCACTTCAGCCGGAAAGCGGATCAAGTTGCTTCAAGAATGCCGGATGTTCTCTTGCTCGGAATCCGACGTGCATTTGTCCCATCCAAGATATCTCGGTTGGACTACCAATATCATCCATGTCGCTGCCTCTAAAGCCCAACAACCTTGACAAACGCAACCATTGTCACGGTACGTGTATATCACGGATATGTATTATAAACCTAAGAGAGTATTAAATGCAAGGTTTGCGCGATACCTACCCTTGAAGGCGAGTCATGGGTGGGGGTTTCATCCTGACCAGAAGTATTGAGATGTTCCAGCGCACCCTGCAGCTCGTTATCAATACTTGGAGGATCATGGTTGCTTGGAAAGTTGAGCTCGATGACCCGAGAACCAGATATTTCGAGTCCCAAAAACCCGTGCCACACGGATACGTATGGTTTGTTGGGTGTCCATCTTGACAACTTGGCGGCGCTAAAATCTGTACTCCTCGGCCGCAAACGAGAAGATAAGCAAATTTCTCGCTCCATATTTAGTCGTAATGTTGGGACCTACAATTGCTTTGTGACTTCAAGATATTAATATTACACTGTGATCAGGATCAAAACCCAGTAGAAGTCTCAGCTGACCGGACAGGCATGGCAGGGTGAAGAAGTTTGCTCTGGAGATGTTGAGACAAATCCAGCCAGTTAACATCCAGGAACCCCGCTCAGCTGCATCTAAGCGTCGCCTCGCCTTATACCTTCGTTTGGACCTACCCCGGTAACGTTGCTTTCATACTTGACAACACAGTATGTAATATGTAAACTGGAGCAAGGGTTGGGCGGGGATACCTTACCTAGAATCCAAGCCGATGCATAATATCATAAAAAAAGGAGAGAAATGTGATCAACCTGGAAGCGAACAAGACATTCTAGCGGCAGCAAGATAGCCGATTGGTGCTATTTGTGCTCGATCAACCAAAGCGAGGTAATGGGCGACGATATCGCTCGACTTAGACTTGGGAAAGCTCCGGAATTCGGAAGCTCCCGTGAATGTTTTGCAGGAATGACAGCGCTTCTCGGTCCGTAGAACCCTGCCATTCAGACACCAAGCTAACGACTTAGCTTTGTCCACGGATTAGATTCTTGGGTTATGCTTCCCCTCCTAGTCTAACAGAGGTGGCCGCGGGAACTAAGCTACGCAATTCAGGATGATCCTGTTACACAGCATCAAGACTCGGCCGGAAGGTCCGCTTAGCGCCCAGTTGACTGTGCCGCTCTGCTGCAGCGCTCGCGCACGAAGTGTTACGTATGTCATGCGACAAGACTTGTCGCTCGAGCTCTCGGCCGTCGGACATAGATCTGTACAGCTTGTATTCAGGATTTTTGTAGCAGCTGTATACAGTTCGCCGGGCTCCTGAGCCCCTTTACATCTTGATAGTTTTTCTTGATTTTTGTCTTCAATAAATAAGGTTAGGCTACGTCTCTGCTATCTATCTTTGTATAGTATTACGTATCGATATCCATCGGATACATATACATATATGCATATGGGTGGGCCGTCGATTCCCTGAAGCTTCGAAGTCCATGGCAACCTCAAAAAATCAACGCCGCGGTAGCCGATGATCCAAAGCCTCGATATTTGTAGTGCCAAGTATACCTGTTCTTATTAATAAAGAATCAGACCACTAGTGTGACAGGATATCATGAAGATCAAGGGTTACGGTCCAAGAAATATCCACTCCACCATACTTTTAACTTCGGAGTTTGCAAAAACTCGAGGTTCTATCTCCCTACCAATAGCCCACTAGAGCTACCAAGTCGGCCATTCTTCCTCTTCTTTTGATAATAACTTTCGCAGCGTTCCTCTTTTAGGGCTAGCTGAAGGCTAATTTTGCCTTGTAGGCTGTTGCATTGAGAGTGAGGTTCCTTTAGACACTGAGGGTGGCAAATTCCTGACAAATTTGGTCTAATGAAGTCCAAAGTTGTATAAAGATACACGAAAAAGTAATGCTAGCTGCTAGGCATATTTATGGACCGTCTACTCGTCAGTTTGATGTTTCGGCCTCACCGAATATATACAGCTTGTTAACATGTTACTATTCCTTACTTGGAAGTATAATACGACTGAGTTGCAGTTGCATGATATATATTCCATTCCCATTTATATTCAGTTAAATGTACCGAGTCTGTTCTAAAGCCTTATAGATATAGCTACTTATATATAGATAACCCTGAGTCAATCAAGTATGTGGTAAACGAGAGCTTTCTATATAATTTATGTTCGATAGGTTAATTTTACACTGGTAATTACGCGATGTAATAAAGGTCGCCGCGTAATAGGTCCGCAGATCTGTGGCTGGTAAAGCGTTATCATGATATCACGAGAAGACTAGTTAAAGCCAGACAATAGTTGAAGTCTATTCAACCACTATAGCGAGATCAAAACTCCCAAGCGACATACTTTTTTGGTTTATTGGGTTTAGGATACTTTGGAATTAACTTGTCTCGTACCCAGCCCCACGCAAGAATTAACACTTAACAGTCCTTTTTTTAAAACTCGGGGAATTGCTGTTAATAATACGGCTTAAACATACAGAATATATATTCTCGCGGTTGCCAACCCCCGGAGCTCTAAGGCTTGTGCCCCTATAGCATTCAGTCTTACCTATGGTTATTGATAGTTACTTATATAGAAGTATTACTGATCGGCAGAAAAATAGATATATCTCCAAAATCGAGATGGAGGGCGTCGTGGGCTGCGTTAACACGTCGGGGTTGACTGGTCTAGACATCTGATGCAGCCTTAATATTACTGCACATGTCCTGGTAGAATTCTTCTACCACTCGGTGGCTTTAATTTTAAAGTTTAGATGGCTGCTAGAGGTTTGGGGTGCTGAGGTACGAAACTAATGCCGACTATGAACCGATGCTATCAGTCTTAGATCAACATCCCACAGGCTGCGGGCCGACCCGGTAGCCAATTATCGGGTCAAAGCTATTGACTGACCCAACGTTAATACGTTTGCATGCATAGCATATAATAAGCCAATAATTGTCCATGTAGATACATAATTAGCGTATATGCTAGCCTCGAAGTCTCGACAGCCTTTTGTCCTAAATTTTGTGGCGCAGAGTCTTATCCCCACATGATGTAATTATAATAAATATACTTATATCTTGATATCGAGGTATCTTAGTTTTTACACCAAACATTTGGAGCTTTGATACCTATATTAAAAATGCGAACTTGATCATGGGCAGCTAGCTGCAGCGGCACAGAGTGTTAAATTAGGTCGCCTCATAATTAAATATATAATCAGTCCTGTATACCTAAGCTAGGCGACAAAACTACTTGCGTAGTTCTTGTGGTACTGACATCTAACCGATCCGATTGCAGTGACCTGTGCTTCGTGTTGTTTGGTGTTGACGAGAGCATTTAGACCTGAACTAATAACGTGACTTTCATGAGAAATACGTTATCAACGCCGATATCGCAATTGTTTCTGTTTTATGGATGTCGAAGAAGCGATGTCAACCCAATTTCGACGAATATAGTCGAAATAGAGGACAAAATATATTTAGATACCGCTACGCCGTCGCCCGGCTGTGAACATTGAGTATTATGCAATTGGGTACCGGTACCATGAGTCTAGGTCCCGTCCAATCTGAAATGAGACTCTCGGAAGGGACGACATGACGAGGACCCTAATAGCGGATCGACACATGACATTTCCCTTTTATTCAAATATTCATATATTCAGATTCGCATTCAGAATTTGGATATTCATTGGCTTATAATATTTAATATTTGTGTAACAATACTGTGGTCGCTTTTTGAATTTCATCCACACGTCAAAACGTTGGGATGTATTGCAACGCGATGCAATAGCTGACGTCCGTGTTCTGGTATTAGTGCCGGCACGAAACAACTGGTATCATGATGTATGATGACTTGAAGGTTAGTCAGCCAGCAGCGAAAATGTAGTCTGGGGTTGCTCCGAGGCGTTGGCAGCCAAAATGGCTAACGTACGTACACATCCTAGTAAAGCTAAGTCAACCTGAGCTAACGTACGGTCATTGGTTAGCCTACGCCTTTGACTTCGGGGTTTAAATTGATGTTAAAACCACATTTTTATAATGTAGACTTGGGTGTATTAATTCCGTTGAAGATGAAGTTGTTGAGATTGAATTTACAGTGGATTTAGAGGATAGAGTTGCTAGTTGGATAGAAAGCTATCTTTCTAGAGAAAAGTGCATTTCGAACAGGAATGTTCAGCTGTCAATTCACAAAAAAAGGGTAAGCGAGCTCGAGTGCTGCAGGACAAGAAAAGCTTGTGAGTGCTTGTCACGAGACCAGCCTATCTCTTGATTGTAACTCTTAGCTAGCGCCAAACCTTAAAATTCCAAGCAAAGCTGATTCTGGGGAACCTATCGACAATGAATCATGGCTTATTTGATGGTACAAAGAAAGGGTTGCGTGTGAGATCATTTATAGAATAAATAGTTCTATTGATACTTGCTGTATTAGGCGATGTAGAAATCTGGAGATGCACAGCTGTACAGATCTCTGCATGCTAAGAAAAGGTGGGAACAATTCGTCGATTAGATGTTTTCTATAACATTGCCTTGGACTTGGAAGCTTGTTTGCGGCCTCGAGATCTTACGCCTTTTGTCCGACACCACCGCCAAGGTTGAGGTTCCTGGTATTTGGTAATCGATATCATCAGGTTCCTTGCCCTTGAAAAAGTCTGCGTACGTGCATACAACCTTAAGCCCAAACGTCTTGATTGTGTGTGAATTCAGGTTGCAGCCTACGGGTGCCACTTTAATGGCCGTGGGTCTCGCAGGTCGCCGAAGCCTCTGGACCAATTACATCTTGAAGTGTCAGACTGTTACCCCTGCCGGAACAGTCTCGCTTACCACCAAGAGTGGTCATGCTCCCACGCTATCGATATCCCAATCCCCAGTATGCATGTTATCTTCGGATTTCTTATCTGGAACAGGTGATTAAAGAAACCTTGAAACAGGATGGGATGACATGACCGCAATTCAAGAGTATGAATTAACCCGGGGGCTGATTCAAGCTCGGATTAGCTCAATTCACATGTATTTGGTCGATTTTCTGTCCCCACTATAAAGTCCTCGGTCTCCCCGTCCGCTCAGACTTGAATACGAGTCGCTAGTCCCGAGTCCCACACTTTCTCTCCTCAGTGTTGGGTCTTGTGTGTTACATACAGCATTTCAGCGCGCAAAAACGGCGGAAACAACGTGCTTGAAGCTCGTGTAACGAATCATAATGGTGCACCTTCCCGGAACCGCAGATACGTCGACGGCGGACGAAGACCGTCTTGCAGAACTTGGCTACAAACAAGACCTCAAGCGTGAATGGTCTTTAATCCATAATTTCGGAGCTTCCTTCTCAATTATCAGTGTTATTACTGGTATTACAACTTTGTTTCAATATGGATTGACTACGGGTGGTCCTGGAGTCATGTAAGATGCTCCATTATTTGATGGATTGATGCGGAGGTACATACTAATTTGGTGAAATTTAGGAGCATTGGATGGATTGTTGTCAATTTTTTCACCTTCTTCGTCGGGCTGGGCATGGCGGAGATTGTCAGTGCGGTGCCGACAAGTGGCGGCCCATATTTTTGGGCAGCGGTGCTTGCGAGCGAGAAATGGGGCCCTTTCTGTGCCTGGGTGACTGGTGGGTTGTCCTGGGAATTCGGGAACGGATTGTACTATGAATATTCGGGCTGATAGCTAATTGCAACCGGAGCGTACAGGGTGGTTTAATCTCCTCGGTCAGGTAGCTGTAACAACAGGTGAGTCCCAGTGAATCTTCTATTCCCGACCTATAAGATGCACCCTGAGGAAGTATATAGCTAACGATAATGAAACAAACATAGGTATTACGTACGTATCCACGGTATATTTGAAGAACCACAAACGGCGATGTCGATATACATCATATACTCCACACATACGCGCAAATGTCCACTGACAACGATTTTCGGCGGTAGATTCGGGGGGGCGAACTTGATCTCGACTTTAGCGACGGTGAAAGGTGGCTACGAACCTACCCCTGCCAAAATTATAGGGATTTATGCGGCATTGCTTTTCTCTCACGCTGTTGTAAATACTTTCGGAGTCAAAATCCTCAAGTATCTCAACAATGTTTCGATTACATTGCATTCAGTCGGGATCTCTTGCATTGCAATCGCAGTCCTTGCAAAAGCGCCCAAGCTTCAATCCGCTAAATTTGTGTTCGCCACGTTTAATGACTCTACTGGTGATCCGGGATGGGGCGAGATAGCTAGCCCTGCCTATGTTGCAATTATCGGTATCTTGGTCGCCCAATATACTATTACAGGATACGATGCATCAGCCCATATGTCCGAGGAGACAAAGGATGCGGCCCGCGCCGCTCCATATGGAGTTTTGATGTCACTTGCCGTATCGGCATTCTTTGGCTTCTTTATCATGCTGGCATTCCTGTTTAGTATACAAGATTTTGAAAGAACAGTTGGAAGCGATTATGCACAAGTAAGTTATTCCCGAACCCCTGTCATTCAATAACTGGTTGCTGAAAATTGGTTTTGTTGATATAATTAGCCGGTGTTGCAAATATTCGTTGATGTCTTTGGGGAGAATGGCGCCATTGGGTTATTCGCGGTGATTATAATATGCGTTTGGCATTGTGGGCTGTTCTCACTCACTAGCAATAGCCGCATGATGTATGGCTTCGCCCGTGATGCTGGTTTGCCAAGGTGGTTTGCTCACACGGACCAAAAGTTCCAGAGCCCAATCCGCACAAGTAAGTAATGACTGCGGCAGAGAGCGTCGAAAAACAGATTTAATTAACGATTTTGTTATAATTAGTTTGGCTTTCTGCATTTTTGGCCTTTTGTCTGGCACTTCCCTCCCTTGGGTCAGCCGTGGCCTTTGCAGGTAAGTTCTCTCCTGATAGTGTTATGACCGACATCATACTAACTGATAAAATCTAGCCTGCACAAGTATCGCAACAATGTAAGACAAATTCTATCACCTAGTTGAACATTCCTATTGGTATTTGGGCAATAAGGCTAACAAGAATGAACGCTTAGTGGGCTGTATCTTTCATACGGTCTCCCAATTTTTCTCGGCCTTCTCAATCCTACACGCTTTAAACAGATCAAAGGACCTTTTGATCTTGGAGTTTTGTCGGCCCCAGTTGCAGTTGTAGCCACGCTTTGGATTACATTTATCACTGTTGTGTTTTGCCTGCCCGGAATGTATCCGGTTTCACGCGAGACTCTTAACTATACCCCAGTCGCAGTTGGTATTATTGCAGTTGGCTCGATCGGTAGTTGGGTATTTTGGGCAAGAAATTGGTTTGTTGGGCCGATTCGGGAGATTGAAGCAGAAAGGCAAGGGATTGATATCAATGATGATGAAGCCCTCGCAGAGGCCGAGAAGGAAGGGGTCATACCACACGCTACCAAGCAAGCCTGAAGGCCTGAAACTTAAGACAGGTAAACCTTACGTGTTGCATTGTTGTATTCTGTCATGATTATGTAATATGTTGTACTTTGATACGCAACACGAAATATTAATTAATGTAATCAGCCCAATATCACGATTCCAGAAATTTAAGTCGGTAGAGATGACCCTAGTCGGGTCATTTGCAAGAACTCTTTCACTTATACTCTTAAACGGAGACCTGTCATCTAGGTGCAGCTACCGAAGTTTAGACCCACTTAGAAAATCTAGGTTACGGCGTCTCAACTTTTATAATTAAGGTTGTCGTTTAGCCGGAAGCTTCCAGAGATCCACGAGAAAAAGTTTTCGGCTAGGAATTCCGGAAGCAAGCTTTGATGAAGAACTTCCAAGAATAGCTTATAAGAGAAACTAGCGCACAGGTCTAACCAAGGACCCTTAGTTACCAGAATCGATGCAACAACGTATGCACCATCCTCTTAACTTCCAGTTCTAAGAAAGGTGATTACTCGATGGCACTTTCGAAATTTAAAGGTTGCTTAGAAAATCGTATATACTTTATTTCCAACTGAACGTCCTATATCTGGACACGAAACCAACATTATATACATATAACAACCGCTCCCCATATAGAACTATGGATCGATTCGAGATAGAGATGACGGCCCATGTTCAATTTGTGAATTTCATCCTTAAATAAAATAAGTTGCTACGACCCCGAAATATCGAGGTATGGATTCCCTCGAACTGTCTGGACCGTTTTCGTGTAAACTTTATCCGCATCTTGTCTCGTAACCAGAGTTTACTAGATCACAAGAGTGTTGCTGCTTCTTTGTTTGGCTCGTCCCATTGGCAAGACGCCGCCGAAAATGATCATCTAGAACTTTGGTCTATCAACTTAAATCCGCATTAGGAACCTAGTCGATAAAACATATGTGTATGACGTCTGTGCCTGAGATTGAAAACATGGACTGACTTTCTGTGAGTTCCCGTTATAAAGGCCTATGGGTGGCACTGGACCGGAAGGCCTCACCATTACTTTATTCGATAACCGTTAATATGCTTGATAGGTATTATCTTCCAGACTAGATACTTATTTATAGTACCCACTCTTGTAACAAAAGTACTTGTGGACACTATAAGGGCGACAAGAAGGTTTCGACGGCTCTTCCCTCCAACCATGCGATTTCACCTTATTAGCATCATCCTTGCCGCCTGGAGTACAGGGGTTAGGGCGGCGACAGGAAAAATATCTGTCAATACAAAGGCATTGATACTTGCAACAGATGGTTCCGGAAAGGCTGCAATCGGTACCTTAAACGGCTATGGAATACCTTACGATAACATCGTGATGACTGATTCTGGTTATACCCTCCCAACTTTAACTAACAGTGACGGATCTTGCAAATACGGAGTTATTGTAGCATTTCGTCAACTCTATAATTCTAATTCTAAAGGCAGTTGGGTTTCCTTTATTGGTTCGGATCAATGGCAAAAGATTTATGATTACCAAGTAGCTTGTGGCGTTCGACTAATTCACCTGGGAGCCGTGCCAAACCAATGGGACTTCGCCTGTTCACTCGTCAGTAGCAATGACGCTACTGAAAGCAACAGTCTCTACTCGACGAATCATCAGTTCTTTCTCGACATAGATGTTGCCAAGGCTGAATTCCCAACAGCGAACCTTAAGTACCTACCCACAATATGCATAGACCCGTTCTACACATACTCGTATCTGACCAACGATATAGAAACCCCAAGAATGCCCGTTTTGCTAGCACATGGCATACCCCAGGCTGGTGCGACGATACATTGTTGCAATATGCTTGGGGGATGACATCCCAAAATGCTTTTCTTTACAATGAGCCCCTCAAGTTGACAAATCCCGCCTCTGGAACTTTGGCAACCGTTTCACAACCTGCTCTAGGTGTGATCAATCGATATAGTTCTGGGCGCGAACAAATGGTCTTCTTCACCACTTTTGCGCAATGGGCTGAAGCATCTATCTACATGAACCATATTTGGATTAATTGGGCTTTTAGAGGCATTATCCCTGGCCGGAGACAAGTTCTTCTAGGCTTACAAGGTATATATATCTATTTTGGCTAATACTAAGCAAACTATATTGAAAGATACTGATAATCCATTTCCTTTTAGTCGATGATCTGCTCTTACCTACCGCTGTCTATGCAGCTAATTATACCTACCGTATCACTGTCGATGATGTGGTTAACCATGCTAAGTGGCAAGTTGACCTCAACAAACGCCTGGCGGCATCAAATCCTGGTAGTGAGGTTTTCTTGGAGTTCGGGTTTAACGGAAACGGGGCTTTTATCTATGATCAGACGGTCCTCGGACTGGACAAAAATGGGACTTGTCCGATCTCAGTTACTTACACTGGCCCGCAACCAGTAACCTCTCTTGAATATGCGAAGCCTCCTGGGACTGGTAGCGATCTTTGGCCTGCCAACCAAACATACAACTGGCCGGATAAATGCATCTTTTATGATCCGATAGCCAAAATGTTTTCCCAAAATAACACAGGAGGAGATAATATCAACGGCGTATCCGACCTTTTCGCCTTGGTCTCTCATACATTTACGCATGAGGGTGAAAACCCAATTACTTACGCCGACTCAAAGAGGGAAATTACCTATAATCAACTTTTCCAAGCAAAGTCTCTGTTCGACAAGGCGAAAAGATTTAGCCCGAACGGTGTCATTCCTCCAGCAATTACCGGCTTGCACAATGCAGATGCCATCAAGGCGTGGATGGAGGCAGGTATCAACTATGTCGTTGGAGACAATACCCGGGCTCCTTTGAGGAATCAGGTAATTATAATCTAGAGACTAGCTTGAAAGTTTGATACATATATAAGCTAATCACAGCTATAGCAAAGTGATCGCTGGCCAATAATCTCGACAGCAGCTGACAATGGGTTCCCTGGCCTTGTTATCATTCCCCGGTGGGCGAATAGGATATACTACAATGCGTAAGAAAAAGATCTTACCACAGCATTGTGACTTGAACTTCATCTAACTTATGGGTCACACGTAGGGACGGAGTTGCTTCTGATGTCCAAGAATGGCTTGATGTATCTCCAAGCCAAGCAACAAATAGCATGGCGAGCCTACTTAGTATTGAAAGAGCTACTACAGCTCAGTATTTACTAAGTCTCTACCATGATCCTTTCATGTTTCATCAGGTAATATAAACATCCAGTACAGTTCTTTATACTGGAATGATTTATTTTGATATTAACAGAATTTAGGCCAATTTGCGAGTTTGGCAGGACCCAGGTGTTTCTGTCAATGGCGTGGCAGGACCCTGGTCCTTGATACAGATGTGGACTGAGAGTATTCTGGACGAATTTGTTCAATATGTTAACTGGCCTATCCAAGGGTTGAAGCATGACGACGTAAGTGAGGAGCGCACTTAGAGCGAATGTATTAGGGTACTAATTTAGATACTGTCGAAAATTAGATTGGGAGAGATTTTGTTGACAGAATGAACCGAGACCTATACAGCGGGTTTTCTGTTGCATGGACAACCTCGAGCGATGGAACGAGTATTACAGGGTTTACTGTTGACTCTAGCAATTCGTCTTGGTCAGGGGAAATTCCTGTTATGATTCCTGGGGATGTTGTCAATTTATCGGGGGCTCGAACCTCGCAATATGGAACCGATCCTTCGACTTTATGGGTTTCCAAATTCCCAACTTCCTTCGAACTCAGAACGCCGATTAAAATGTGCGTATAACATTTTAACTCTCCGTAGGTATCCTGCTAACTTTACTACAGACAGGGCACTAAAGTTAATATCACTTCAGCGGCTATTTCGCTGACTACAGCTCTACCGTCACTAACGCTCCCAACGACAAGTCTCGTTGGATCTTTCCCGGTATCTAATATTATTTCCGCAAAGTCGACTTCTGCGGCATCTGCGTCCCTCTCTTCCGTCGCATCCGCCAAAAGTAGCAGTGCGAGCGCCAGTGCTAGTGCCAGTGCTGCAGCGAAGTCCGTAAGCAGCACAAGCACAGCAAAACTAACTAGCGCAAGCACAAGCTCGGCAAGGTCATCAACTTCGAGCACAGGCAGCACAAAAGCTTCATCAGGTTCTAGCTCTAGTTCGCTCAAAGCTAGCTCTACAACTTCCTCAGCGGCTGCTTCCTCGACTGCAACTAGCGACTCGGACGTGTCTCGCTTCCTCAACACCCTCTGTGCTGACAGCACAACCGCAGCGAGTGTCGGAAATCTCTGTACACTCTGGAATGCGTTCAAGCAAACCGGGAAGATACAGAAGAGACTAGTTCTTCCTGAAGGTGCGCCAGTGTATGATTGGGACGACGAGGGCGGGCACCCCGAAGCAGTTCCAAGATGGCGTAAGCGTGACAGCCATCAAGCCCACGGGCGTCACAGCAAACGACATCAATAGCCGTGGATTTTTACTTAATTAATCCTGTGAGAGCTGTAAGTCTATATAGTCTCAAGCTTCTGTTAAGCTATTAAGTTTGTGGGAAATCCCCTCTTTTTGAATTTTAAGATGTCAAACTGTATATTTCTGATTTGTCAATACTTGCGAAAAGTTTGTATGATACCGTAATGAAAATTTGGGCTAGTATTTATCTATGTAGAAATCTCTGAAGTATTTCTAGTGAAGGCGTTGACTTCTATAACGTTCTTAGGTTCTACGGAAACCTTGGGGGTCCCTACGGCTTTAGTGCCCCAAAGCCCCAATCTTGGGATTCCACCTCCTCCCCAAAGGCTTTCCGAATAAATTGAGTCGCTTTATCCTTAACCTCCTTGAACTTTCCCTCATCCCCGTAGACCGCAAATCCTATCTCACCCCAAACCACGATATGCGCCCCTGCCGCTAGCATAACTTCTTTCAACATGCCTTCCGGAATCTTTTCTACTTGCGACCTGTAAGTTGAGCAGAGGCCCTCGGATAAACTCTTAGCAGCGGGCTTTGCATTCAGGTTTTTACTGAATTCCCCTGCTTCCCAAACTTCCGCCAACATTTGGGAAAGTTCTGTGGCCGCATCTGCAGGACGAACCATCTCCCAGTCAACAATATAGAGCGATTCAAGTTCGCCCGTCTCTGTTAGATTGACTAAAACATTTCCAGTCCAAAAATCCCCCATAATGACGATTTCATTGCCGTGGAGCGCCTTATCCTTTTCCTGGGCACAATAGGCCGCTACTTTCTGCTTGAGGTTTTCGGAAAGCTCGGGATAAGCTTTTATCAAAGCATCCTCAAACCGTCCATATGTCCGCCAACTAGCAATGACCCTAGAATCCTTATTTTCGTATTTTTCCAAGACTTTTGTATCACGACCCCATGAGTGTAGTTGTGCCAAGTAAGCTCCAAGCTCTTCCCCAATTTTTGAGAAAACCTTGGGTTGTGGTATTTCATCACTTAACAACAAATCCTTCAGGTTTTGGCTTTGAGGACCAGCGTCCTCTGTGAACATGACACGATTGACATGGTCTACCCAGTACAATTTCGGAGCTTTGACGACCTCTGTGTGAGGTACATCCTGCAGAGCATTAGCCTCAAACGGCCAAAGGTCCCAAACAAATTTTTGGCCGTCGATGTTGAAGATATAAGGATTCGAGTGTTTGAGGATCACAGTCCCAGTCGAAGTTGGATTGTTTGATATTGAAGTGTTGAGAACGAGACGGTGAACTGCATTCCCGATCCCGTTTGTAATATTGAAACTTGATAATGGAGATCGAAAGGCTTCTGGGAAAGAAGGATCGGTAATTGAGTCTAGGTATGCTTGAACCTGCTCCTTCGACTTCAACAATTCGAGGTTTGGTGTGTCCGCCATGATTGATGTTGGAATGCTTGTCAGGGCGGAGGCAAAAGCGGGGATCGTGTGGGCCGTGGGTGGTTATCGATGGAACTATCGTGAGAAGTCAGGAGTAGTAGGGTCTGTGGTCACAAAAATTGGAAACTTAGAGTGCAAGGAAAGGCACATATGATATTCTCAGTCTTTTTGCCTTGATGTTATACCAATAGCTTTCATAGATTTAGGCCTTTCTTTTCACGATCATTTTTCCATTTGCGGTTCGTGATAGCATAATAGGTTTCTATGATTCATAGTGATGCATTCGATATCCGTATGTGTATATTTTCCCTGAATAGAGTACTACCTGGCACTAAAACGGGAATTTTTCTGTTCGAACAACTGTTTGATTCTGTCATACGTAGAAACAGGACATATTGCGTTGCGTCGGTCAAAATTATTTGACCGGCCTCTATTATTGTTGGCACGGATTATTTGCATTTAAGTAGTACATTCATGTTGGTTATCAGAAACTATTACATTACGATTGACTATTGATCTAGGCTAAGGTGTATATACATATGCATGAAAGAACATTACCGGTCCTGTGCTCGAGATAGTGCGGCAAATATTAAATCCGCATACCGGGCAATAAACCACGTTACTTGAAAATCGAGATTCATAATCCGATTAAATGGGGCAAGACGATGGTTCTGGAATCTTGAAACCACCAGGAACACGGGATTGGAAGACTCCACAGGGGTCGTAGAATCTGCTAACCTTCTTGAGTCTGTCGACAGAAGCTCTGCCGTAGCCACAGATTGGGTTGCTGTCTTTATGAGCATAGTTGAGGTAGTAGTATCGATGGTGTAAACCTCTTGCCTTTGCTAACGCAATAGATTTAGTCATGACCTCGTCAAGTGAAGCGAGGATTTCTTTATCGTGTGTGGGATCTAGCCATTGATGGGTCAGGTTGATAATAGCCATGGTCTTGGTGTTTCCCTCCAACCCGAGAGAGTTTCCGCCACGGAGACCACCAGCGGCGATCGCTTTCGTGGTGATGGGCTGGAAAGCGATAGTTCCCATGAAACCAGTTTTGGCACCATGCTTTACCGTCATTGTCGAGTTCCAAATTTGGAAGAGGTCGATGTAAAGTTGTTTGTCGGCATAGACGGAGAAGTCTCGCATGTCTTGTCGCAGGCCCCTGACATCACCGCTGCCGAGTTCAATAGCCTGGGACCCGTAAGGCCTAACCTTAAGGGTTGAAGAGCTTTTGACGGTAGGGTTAAGGTCAACAATCTCTTGCAGAGCTGGACCTGGGCCTGGGTTGGTTTCGGAGTCAGAGATGGTCCTGAAAGCAGTGAAAGCACCCATGTGCATCCCCCCAAGACCCGGAATCTGAACATAGACAAATGCGGAGATCAAGTGGCTTTGAACATCGGTTAAAGCGCCAACAGTATGGTACTTGTAGACAGCGTCAAACATCTTTGGGTAGTCCCTAGTATCAGAGAAATAAAGCTGACCACTGTAAACACCCTTAGGGCAAGGCCAAGTATGAAGGTCAATCCGTGTAACGATCCCAAAGTTTGAGCTTCCTCCTTTTAGAGCCCGGAAAAGATCTGCGTTTGCGACTGCATTTGCATTCACAACCCATCCGTTGGCCAATACAACCTGGAAATTCTTGACTTGATCGGCAACAAATCTATTGCGATGTTAGTTGGACATTTCGTAACCCCAGTGAGGAAGTCCTTTAATTAAAGAAAGCTTACCCGTGTTGGTTTGTTAAATAGCTGATACCTCTGTTCAATTGAAATACGTTAGAACTATGTTGTAGAAACCAATATAAATGGGACACAGGTGATCAACTTACCCTCCGAGAACCAATCCTGGAACTCCAACTGGGGACATGCGGCCACCAAGGGCCATAAGTTTGTGCTGGTCGAGAACGGTGAAAACATTGCCCCAACGCTCACCGGCGGAAACTTCTGCATATCCAGATTTAACTTTGACTCCAGTGAGGCCAGAAAGAATGATTAAAACACCGTCCTCTGTATTCGCCCATCCTTTGATCGCGCTGTGGCCTCCACCGACAACATTGAAGTCCGACTGAGAAATAAAGATAAGCTGCATAGCCAAGGAGACATCATCAACAGATGTAGGTCGGAAAACGCATGTGGGTGTCATGTAGGTAGTAGCGGACCAAAAGGAAGGGTTGTTCCATGAATTGTAGTTGGAGCTTCCCGGGGTAGCCGTCTTGGTTGGGAATATTATCTTCAAGGAAAGGCATGCAATGGCTCCAAAGATACCCTTTGAATTCCCAAATGTTCTTTTGCGAAGCTCTTGAAGTTTTTCAATGTCGCGGGCGGTGATCGTAGTTCCAGGAGCACCATAGCCATCATCAGGGAGGTTATCCGTAATGGTACCGTTAACACCAAGTTCATTCTCAGCTTCCGCGAGAATTGCAGTGATGTTAACGCTCGGGAAACCAAGATCAATAGTTCCGTCGATAGCTGGGTCCGTCAGAGTTGTCGTGTCAGCAACAACACCGAGGATGTTTGACAAACCATACAACAACCCAAGCGCGATAATCGAGAGGCGGGCCATTTTTGATATAAGGTATGAGGGAACGAGAAGAGGATGAGGGAAGGAAAACAAAAGAGAGTAATGCAGAAAACTGCTGGTGGAGTGCAAGGTTCTGAGAACAAGGTCAGGGAAAAAACTGTTAAGGAAAGTCTAGAGCCCTAGGTATCGGGACTCCAAAAGGCAGGCAGGCAGGCCGGGAAGGAAGGACTCGAGTTCTTTTTGGAAGACAAAGTCGCAACTTTTCTTGTTGGATGTAACTACTTATAATTGCAGTGCTACCAAGCCCGTACTCTCGCGTGGCCTCCAGGATGCTGAGATAGGGGTGCAGCAGATGGGTGCCAGAGGCCCTTTTATCACTGACCAAAATCTTACAGACTCCTGGCCGGATACGCAGAAATCCGAGATGATCGAGAAGCAATATTCGATCTTGGTTGCTAGCTCCTCACTCGCACAGCGAAAATAGCCTTGTAAGATTTAACTCGATTTGGACCCATCTACACAGTATAGAAATACTAACGCAGGTACTACAGGGTGCATGTTCTGGAGATTAGTACCATGCCACTGGTGGTGGCGGCCCTGGTCGTTTCGCACTTTTATCATTGAGCTGGGTGGGGACTCCATACATAATACAGAAAACGTCTGCATTGTGGGTGGAGCTGAGCGAGGGTCTAGAAACCTGGGGCGTCAAAGATAGGCCCCTACACAGATTCCAGGAACCAGTTTATTGCCATCTTTAGGCATGATAGATTCCTCGTCGGTACGGTGCGACTGCTGTGGGCGCATTCACCTACATGAACTCCGTAGACGACCGATGAGATAGCGACTTGCCATCCGTTTTGGGCTTGCGCCAACAGTCGTTTTTTTCCCGTGTGTACCAACTTTGTGTTCGCCCCTTCGATCTGGATTGCCGCGAATGGTGTGAGGCGCTACGCGAACGGCAGAAACGTTGGCCCCTGCATACCATCATTTCCGGAATCGAGGTTGTTCCAACAAAGCTTTGCGGAGACTGTCTCTGAGGGCTGTTGGTATTATGCATGCGCATGTTATCGAATTTTAAAAGGTTAAATCAGACGATAGCTTGTTGATTTTTGCATTACATCGCTTTGGCGATATGCCACTTACGTTACTAACATATTAAACCGGTTGCGTATACTACTCAATACTCATTACTGCTGATGTACTTTTTCTTTTGTTCTTCGGTATTTCATCTATGTCTCTTGCATGTGGGTAATTAATCATATCCCCTATACTGTACAGTACAGTACAGTACGGTACTTACATACATCCGTTGTGACTCGCACCTTAGTGTGAATTTCACGGCAAAAAGAAGTCAGAACCACAAGTAGAAACCTGTGTTGGATTTGTCACAAAAAAGGTTAACGGGGACTGTTAAGGTGCCCACCTTTTGCTGACCGATAGCCGACTGGAATCCAAGCTGGCCAAGCTGGCTACGCAGTCTATCCCATGGAGCTGGCACACCAAGGAATTCAGTTCATACGTACGAGCCCACACCTATAATTCTCGACATTGTAAGTACACACAATACATAAGTGGTTATACAACTAATATTCATGAATAGCTCTTTGCCTTGCTCTGGAGTTTTTAGTCTCCACAATATTGTGGGGACTTCGTGCCATTGGCCTCTGAGGTTGGTCCATGATGGAATCGAGGCATAGAGCCGAGTTTGCCGTCCCCCCAAGGATACCCCTGTCAACTATGTTTCTTACCTTCCTTCTAGTCGCGAATGTGCCTCGTAAAACTGTCCCAAATCGAGCAAGGGCGATATATGTGGGACGATTTGTCACTTAGCCAATCGAGAGCGTCGGAAGGCGGAGATCAAGCCAAAAAGCCTCAGTACCCACCCGAGATACGTATCGATAAGTAACACTGATCCTGATCGATCTATGGCGAGCTGTATGTATACAGTGTCGATAGACGATTCAAAGGATTTCTTAGTGTTAGAGTACTTATACTTTGAGTACCTAAGCTCTTAAGCTAAGGCAAATCTTTTGCTATATTAATATTAAGTTTTGTGCCTTCCGTTGATGTGCGGAGGCCTAAGAGTTTTCTACCGGCAACATTTTCAATTGTTCTATTCCCAGAATTACAACTGTTACAACAGATGTAAAGTTTGAATGCTGGCTTATATTGCTTAACAAGTTGGCAAGCTAGATTTAGACCGAGCTGGGGACAAGACAATGGACCGAACAAAGCAATTTGTCAATTTCAATACCTAGTCGACTCCGAGGAAACCCCTTTTGCGCAAAAACAAGTGCTTATGCTAGCCCTTGGGTGGTCCTTTTGTTCACGGACACCCGGACATATGTAGACCAGTCCGCAGGTTGCTTCAACTCGCAGCCACTGGCTAGAAAGGTCTAGCTACTAGACTTTCGGCCAAATATGAATTTTGGGCAGCAGATTCAAACCATATGCCTCTTCGACAAATTTTTTTTCAGAATCTCGAAATGCGGTCGAGGATGCACATCTGCGATGATAAGCTGCTTCAGGCCTGGGTGGCCATCGACGGAAATCCAATTGCAAGCATTAAGCCTGTTGGGGAAGTAGGCGGCCTTCGGCCGCTGCAACAGGAGGCTTCCGGCCTAGCATTATGTTTCATACATACCGAAAGTTACATTCTGCCAAGAGCCTCACGATCGAATCACGAAGGCACCGAGACCACCTTGGTGTCAACACACAACCTCCAACATCGTTGGAATGTTCACATGTATTAACACGGACGGAATTGATTAATTGAATGATTAAGAGCTATATCTATATTATCTTGGCAAGCTTCAGCCTCCTTTACTAATATATTATTGTTCCCCAAAGCTCCAGGCGTTGGGGCTTCCTTGAAACCGTGGATATAAGCCTTGAGCCAACACTTCGCGGTCGAAACCTGAGAATGGTATAGTATGCAAATTGGGTATCTGCATGCAGCCATTATCAGTCTGGCTCGCCCTGAACATGGATCCAACTTGGATCCCAACTTGGATCCCAGCTTAACAGACTCCAAGAATTTGGGGGGTTTCGTGCGGAAGAGTTTTTTGTCTTGAAAATAAGTAATTATCATACGTCCCAATTTCGGACGTGCATACCTTTGCCTTCGTCGGGACGCAGCAACGGTCGTTGAAAGCTAGATCGAAGGCTTTTCGCTTGGGTCCGTTGACTTTAGGGTTCTTGGTTGGACCCTCTTGAAAGAAACAATCCAGGTTCCAACATCGAGATAGATAGATCCCTAAACTTACATACATCTGGAACTTGCCGTCCAGACCAAGACCAGGGCATGGGAGTTTCGAAAGGGACATACATACACACAAGTTAATTGTCAACGGGATATCTAGCGAGCTCCATTACCGACCGGGCGTCAGAAAACCTTATAATCTGGACGTTGTCTCGGGTCATTGCATCAAATTCCTCTGGTTATTCCCCGAAGCTTGCAGGATTTCAAGTCAGAATATATTATACGTAAAGGAGGATCTTAAGGAGCTCGAGATCTACAACCCGTAGCACTTTATAAGAGTGCTCTAACCCCCAAGTAGTCAACGAGGACGACAGCACTCCACATACCCACCCGTCAAAAGATAAGTCAACCAAAAATTCAAGATGGGTTTCGGTGCGGCGTCCCCGCCGCTGCCGATCACTAGCTACTATGTGAGTTTACCTTATATATTCTTTCTCAATACACTTGTATATCGCCGGGTATGCAATTACAGGTCGACAAGTCTAACGGAATGCTTCCCCCAGATCATCTACTGGGTCCCAACATCTATTGCTCTTATCTTTTTCTTTGTGCGCCTCGCAGTCAAGCTCACCAAGAACAGAGGCATGCAAATTGATGATTTCTTCGTCTCTTTCGCTGCCGCAGCTGTCCTAACAGATGCTATCCTGCACACTTTGATGACACCGACCTCACACAGTAAGCCTAATCCATTGTTATCATCTATGTTTCGTATGTTTCTAATTCATCGACACCGATTTTCGCACAGACTTGGGCCTTATTATGCTTGGACTTGCACAACCTGGGGCAACTTTCCTGGAAGATGTTCAAGAATACCTCAAGCTCCAGTTTGCAGCCATTACCCTTTTCTGGAACATTCTCTGGGCCGTCAAATTCTCGCTTCTTATTTTCATCTGGAGATTGACAGACGGGCTTCCTACAATGCGCAAGTGGTGGTGGGGTGTCACTATTTTCAACATCATAATGTGGATGAGTGCTGTTATGTCTCAGTACTTGAACTGCCGGCCGCTCAAAACTGCTTTCATGATCGGAGAGGGAGCATGCGAGACTCTACATCCCGGAACATCGGCTAGAGCACTTCTCTATGCCATGGGTGCAGATATAGCTACCGACATCTCGATCATGGCACTTCCTTTGCGACTCCTCTACGGCCTCAAAATCAATAAGAAACAGAAGTTTGGACTGGTTCTCATCTTTTCACTCGGCTTGCTTTGTGTCATCTTTGCCGTAATTCGAGGCGTCGGTTCAATTGTCGGTGATGCAATCATGCCAATTTGGCTCGGCGTTTGGACTCAAAGGTATGGGGATTTGCACACTTGGTGGCCCAGAAAGCATAGGGATCCGCAAACTGATGCTAACATCAAACCCATCTTTTTAGTGAATCATGCGTCGCCCTCATCGTCGCCTGTCTCCCTACTCTCCGAACGCTTCTCCTTAGTCGATCTATCACTGGAGGATCTTCGGATAGCCCGAGTAACGGGTACCGCTACGGTTCTAGGAAATACGGTGCCGGCGGCAGTAGCTATGCCCGCAACTCCAGGATTGGAGGCTCAAACCACGTTAAACTGGATGATTTGTCTGAATCTTCTCATATCACTAAAATCGAAGCCGGCGGTTCAAAGCAAGCCCAAGTATCGGGCATGTACTACGAGAGAAATAACAGCAGCGAGGAAGCGCTTCGTGGACCTGTGCCTGGAGTTGCCATTCACACCAACATCTCCGTTACTAGCGAACGGGCACAAGCCACGAAGGAAGTCTTTTAGAAAGTCACTGCAGCAGCCCATCCGCTTTGTTAGGGCATAGGGGTTTGGAGTATTTTTGATACACGTGCCATAATATATCCTCTTTTTTTTTATGTACAAATACAGCAGCTCACTTGACGTGGCGTTTGGTTTCGAAAATTCTTCATTTCGAGCTTTTTAGCGAGCCACAAGCAGGCGATACTGGTAACTGCCTGCTTAGTTATTTATTTCAATTCTTGAATTTAATGATTACAAAACCTCGTCAACATGCGAGGGGTGTTGGAAAAGTCTTCCTGTTTTGTTACTTTTTTGTGCAATTGTGTAATCACGGACGGTTGGTTTTGGAGCTCCACTTTTTTTTTTCAGCGCTGCAGCTTGTTCCTCGGTCTACCATGTAATTTACTCTTGAGTTGGAAAAAAATTATTTCTACCCCGAACAGAAAGGGTTGGTTTCAGCACGGAAAGGCTTGTTTATCCAACTCCCGCTGTCAAGGGTTGAGCCGATTTGGGAGAAAAATTTCCGTCCCCTTTTTCAGTACATATTCCGAGTTATCTTATTACCTACCCAACTTTTGAGAAAGCGAAAGAATCAGAACGCCTTAGATATAAACCGTACACAAAGAACTTGACAAAAAGTAATATTAGAGACATCTACCGACCTCCATATAATTTTTTATTTTTTATTTTCAAATTGTGGTTCTTTCGATACCGTATCTGTCGACCGCCTTTCGTGTCCACCTTCTCCCAGCGGATGTCGTGATATTGTTCTCCTCTTAGCTTAGTCGCGCGTTTTCCACCGGATAATATTGATCTGTACAAACTTTTTTAGGTTGTATTGGTTACACATGAAGGTTTTCGATACTCCCGCCGCTTCATAAACTTTCCTGACTCTCGGAATCAGGACAGGCTCCACTCCTCATATAAACGCCGAAAGTGTTATCGCTCATATCATTGAAGTGGGTCGCGTTGTTAACAGGGGATCACAACATTAATACGATGATATATAGAGTCGTGTTGGATTTTGCTCTAAAGCCAACCAATGGGTTGAGGTTCTTACGCCTGGTTTAGTGTCGGCTGGTCTGGATGCCAACCGAGAACATCCTATTCACTTTCCTTTCTAATCGAATCATGACCCCTTTTTGTCTGCTGTGTCTGAACGGAGCCGCTAAGCTGGTAAACCGGGAAGCCGGACGAACCATCTGCAGATCCCGCTGGCATCCTTGTGATACATTCAATTCAACCCGGTGACAGGCACAAAATTTTCGTCAATTCGTAAATTTCACTCAACCGTAAGCACCGAGCACTGGAGGCAGTGTTACCGAGGTCCGTGAAGATTGTGCATATAAATTTCCACCAAAAGGAATCGTTTCCAAGATGAGTGCATATCCGGTTGAGAGGTCTTCGCTGGATTAGTTTGGTTACAACCTGAGTCGGTTTGTTTGGAGAGAAAGCCGCACTACTCTGTATAGCCCGTGCGTAAAACTATGACAGGCACCGAACGGGAAGGTGCTTTCTTTTCGAGCAAGGAGCTTTAACATTAGCGATGTGAAGGGAAAATAATTGGCTGATATAACGGCCAGTGTCCTTTCAAACTTATCCCCGACGGCCGCTGTGTTAGCATTTTCTAACTAATGGGCGATCGTTTGATGTCACTAAGCTGTCAAAACGCCATAAACTCGGTAATTTATTGCGATGCTTATCAATAAAACAGCGGAACCACTTTCGAGGTGGCTGACTGTTCCGCCTTATTGTGCGAAATGGGCAAGGTAACCTCGCTGAGAGGAGCCACCCCCACACCCTTAATTTCTTGATGAGCTAGGATCCAGGATGACGGGTTTCATGCCGTGTCCCAGCATCTTGGGAATTTTCTTCGCGGCAAGCGATCAAAGACGAAAACTAGCTACACTTGGTTCTACATCAATTTTGCCGGAGGGTGTATGGACCATTGTTCAGAAACCCGAACTCTGGAAACGAAGCCTTTATGCAATGCAGGGGTTCCCTTTGGTCTTTCGGTTAGATAGAACGCCTCCAGAATTCTTACACAGCAACATGATTTGTGCAACATCGTACACTTTTGTTTCCAAAGGTCCGTTCTCATATAGTTAGATGCACCCATTTTCCTACAATTAAAGTTCAATATTGATGTAGAGATGGCTGATCCATGATGGCAAGTAATTATGTAGGCACCAACGCTTACTCGCTGCTGACGAAAATGGAAGGGGTATATACTGCTATTCCAGACCACGTTCTTTCTGTCGCTCTCTCAACTTTAAAGATATTTAAGTTTTAAGTAAGTAGTTTAGCTACATTTTCGAACATTCAGGCTAATTGCAAAAATGATACTGTACACAGTAAGTCGATTGATATTATATTAGGCCCAACTTGTGGTGCTCAGACTAAACTAACATAAGGAGGCCAAAGGATACCCCGTGGACGTGGGTCCCTATCTCGTAAACCAAGAATACTAATCTTTTTGGGGAAAGGGAATTCGATATGATGCGACCGAAGAAGCAACTACACAAGCTTGCTGACGAATCATAGCTCTAATTTATGAACCATCTACTGCTTTATGCCATGGAATACGAGACCGAAGCTTGAATTACTGTGAGAATTCGCTTACATTTGTGTCATGCCATCATGATACTCATTGGCCATTGATCCAAGACTTCAGACCCAGTTCCCGACTTCAGTAGCAGGGGTAAAGCAACTAAGGTCATCCGACCTATGATTTATTCTCTGCATATCGCGTTAATCTTCAGACTACCTTTCCCTTCGAGAAAAGGGGCCACCATATTCAGCTAGGCAAGATAGCATGTATACATCTGTATAGGGGGGTTTGTGGTGAGGAGCCACGTGCTCCATACCATCAAAATATTTGAAATTTGTCTTCGAACATAGTTCAACGTTTTTGGGTTTTCAAAATTAATATATTAGTATATTACGTTGGTTCTACGGGGTCTCGCCTGCATATGCGATTGGCTACTTGCTGGTTGGTTTATCTGAAATTCGAAAGTGACAAAGATATTGACTTTAAGTTCAGGGTCTATATGAATGTGTATACATTTTTCCTTAGGTGTGTACCCGGGATATATATTTTTTGAGTTTAAAAAAAGTTTAAATTGGTGCATTTGGCACTCCATCTTGGTGCAAGAAAGGATATTAATCTAGGATTCTGTGATATATATACAGATAGATAGAATATACCACATACCTAGACTTTCCTAGCGACCCGCTATAAGTACACTAGAAATCTAGTCTCAGTGGCTGTCATAAATCAGATTTCGTGCATGCGTAGCTGTTGACGACGTATCCTAAACTAGCCCCCGAATCAATCGCACAAGAAGAGATTCGATCGAAGGGACAAGCAAAAATGTACACTGACAGGAAGCCAATGATAGCGCTATGTTCATTTAGGAGGGTTTGTCCGTAAAAGGCAAGACAAGCTGTAAGTAGTCGAGAACCGGTTTAAGTCTCGAGAATTCCCATCGTGATCTTGTCTCCATGAACTCAGTGGATAAGTTCTGGCTATATAGGCTTCTACTGGTATATTATTAGAACGCTCTAGCAGGAGTTCTTGCTCTAAACCTGCTGGAATAAAGTATAATATGTATTTAACAGATATTTCTTAAGTTAGCAACTGAGTCCCCTTGGTCCAGAGGTCCTCTGGGCCCTACTTATGCTAGTGTACTAGTGAAAACCTTTGATTCAAGGATATCCTAATGTGCAGCGTGATCGATATATGAAAGTTTTGAGCGTAAATACTTACCACTCCCGGGAGGGCCTTTGCCACAACCTTGAGCCGGGTATGACTCGTATTCGCAACTAAATAGTTTCGTCCGCGTCTTTATTAGAACAAATTCATACCCGAACAGTGTCATATTTGTATTGTATGAGAGCGACCGCTACTGGGGAACTGAAGAGAAGAATATCCCATGTCATTAGCCAGTTGACCAGGTTAAAATTACACCTAATAAATCAGGTTATTAATTTATTTCGGTGTTCTATTGCATCTAGATATCTACAAATCGGAAAATTGTACAAAAATAGTAATTTAAGCAATAATTATCTCAGTGGTACCATGGTTGAGGCTTAGTCTTGTATTAAAACGCTTCGGCACACTCCGATCACTTCGCCTGCTAATAGCCTATCTCAGACCATGAAGAGTACTCTCATGGTAGCGATCTCACGAAAGGTGTATCAAACTACTTGGTTTAACACCTGAACTTGGTAAACAATGTATAACACAATTTTCGATCCGGAATTGCGATATTGAGGTTAGATTCTGCCGTTACTGCGGGTCTGGTGTTGCGTGCCATGGGAGTATTTCAATTCTGGGACTTTTATATAATGCATTGTAACTTAAGATCATATTATTTAGTTTTTCAACAGGCAGAATAAAACGATAGTTCAAGGGGTCAGGTGTGTATTTCATCTCACCTGGTCTTGTAAAATGGACGATTAGATCGATTCTGGGTCACCTGATGGTACTATATATACATAGTGTCGGGTTGCCTGATTTGTGTCAATGCAATATAAGAAATAAGTATTCATTAGTACCATAACTTGACTACTTTTTACTATCTGCCAATATATAATTCTTAAGAGATTTGATCGCCTCTACTACTGCTCTCGCTTGATGTATCGAAAAACATGCAGGTGAAAGCTTAAATTATAAAGCGGCCGAGGAAGCCGAGTCTACAACTAAGAGCAACTAAAATTACAAATATACCGGCACTCTCAGAAGAATCCTAGCCATAAACTACATAGGTCTTAGGGTATGTAGGACGGGCTTAGGTAAGTAAATATGTACTCATATTGTAAGCTAACGGATGTTAATGTCTTGGAGATAAAGCTGTTCCTGATGCAATGCAACGGCCCTACATATGCTTGGGAATTGCTCTCCGTACCTTTCTGAGATCCACTTTCTGCGGGCCTATATCCACCGGCCACCATTATATCGTACTTTCTCCTATTATAAGCTTCAAGCCTCAACAACAAATTTAATAGACGTCGAATTATCT